TTGCCCTGATCAAATTCCAATCATAAGCTTTCTCTCAAACGCCAAGAATTGGTATCTTGAACTTGAACCGTACAGCACAAATTTCATAATTGTGCATCGCATTCTAAGCATCATTTGTGAAATTTAATGGTTGAATCGTGTTCATCATGAAGTTTTGAAGCTAACTGATATTTCCAATTGTGTTTTTCTGTATTATATGCGATTATGCCATGTATGTTTTTTAGGGTTGCAGGTTTCTTAAATTGGGGCTTTTGCATAGAGGAAAAATTAGGACCCATGAATACCATGGTTGGACTCAGTGCTTGAAGACGAAGAGGATGGCACCCTCGCGCTCAATTTATGAGCGTCGAGGGGCTAATCGTTATTTTTTCAAAGCATATCTAAGGCCACACATGCGAAACAGTTGCCTAATACTTTTATATTTCAGAAAATAAAAAAGAGAACGGAGAAGACAACATCGTGGCAAGCCCTGACTCGCTGATTTGAATTCTCGCGCCAGAAACCCACTAACGCACTTGTTTCTTTTTTATTATTGGTTTCTCATAACATATTAACATGTGCTTCATAGCTCAGCTGGAAAACGCTTCACGCTTCAGTTTCCAAGACCTGGGTTCGAGTCCCAGGTCTGAACAATTTCCATATTATTTTTGTATATTAATTCCTATGCAGTGCTCGCAGTGGAAAACACCATATTCCCTCACCATCAGGCAGCCACGCGTCCCATGAGATCAAGCCAAGGGCAAAGATTGGGAGAGCATCATGTACCATAGTCAAACGTGTTATACGTGATTCAAAAAGTCAACGAAATTCAAGCAAATGGGCCTCAACCTTCCAGGCCTGAACCTCCTAATCTGGGGCTACACCCCACCCTGGTTTGCCAATTTTAATTATTTTTCTTATCTTTTTAATTATTATTTTAATTGTTATGTTTATTTTAATTATTGTTTATTTAATTTTTAATCAAAATACAAAAATATCATAAAATCAAAAAATGCCAAAAAAATACAATTTTTATTTTATTATTTCCATAAATGAATTGTATGTAAATTACTTAGTTTAATTAGGTTTTTGACTTTAATTCCTTTTAATAAAAATCCAAAAAATTAGAATTAGGTTAATTGATAATTTTTATACCTTGTACATAAATTAATTTAGAGTTAAATTAGGTTAAAAGTCAATATTTTCACAATAAACTTAAAAAACAATAGAATTAGGTCTAATATTTAATTTAATTTCAATTAACTCCTTTTTCTTGTTAAATCCTAAAAAACATAAAATTCCCAAAAAACATTTAATTTTTAATTTTAATTCTCATTAACTTTAAATATTTTGCAAAAGGGTCCAACGCCCATTGTTTTAAATTATTTTATTTCGCGCATTTTTCTTTATCGCTTATTATGATTATGTACATGTCCCAAAGCCTTGTAACTTTAACTTTTCGCACTTTATTTTTTCGCTTTATTTATTTTCCGCTAAATCGGGTTCTGGAAATTTTGGCGATGTGGACCCGCGCCATTTGTAATAGTTGTAGATTTATTTTCCCGCAACTTATTAACTGTTAAATATGCATGCAAGAATGAATGTCCTAATTAAAATCAAGCGTAGATCACAACAAACATGACAAGACAAAATCAATGAACATGACACACAATTCGCACACACCACCCCTAGGGTACGCCTCACTGTTGCCTTTCGAAAGGTGATCGTCGAGTAGAGGATGTCTTAGTAAGTCCTCATGATCCGGGAACCTGGCATGAGGGTAGCTTCTAAGGTGTCTTCCCATTGCTCTGGTGATCACCATGTCCCTAAAAATCGAATTGACCCGAACACCTCCAACGGTGGTGCTACCTACCTCTCAATGGTGGGATGGCACTACTTTAAAGGACATCTACACAGACGAATTCCTTAGGGTAGGTAGACGACTCTAGATACTTGCTCTAATTTCAAAACAAATTCAAAAATACTTTTCACACCGACACCTTTTCAAAAAGCTTTCGAAAGCAATTTTTCAAACACTCTTGAGGACCGATACAAGAGTCGAACTGAAATTTTTCAAAGAAACTTTTTTAAACCCACATTGAAAAGCAAACAAACAATTTTGAAAACACATTGAGCAAGTATCTAAGAGCCCATGGATAACCATGGATAGAAAGGGTGCTAACACCTTCCCTTTCTATAATCTACCTCCCGAACCGAGAGCAATCTCTATAAGGAATTTTTCTGTGCTTTTGTCCTTTCCATTTGGAGAAAATAAAAGACGGTGGCGACTCTTGCTTCCGCGACATTTCGCGAACCAGCGTTAAACAGTCAGTTCCAGATCCACCGATCACAGTGCGCAATTGTTGTAGTTGATTTCTTCTTCACGTCTTCTTTATATAGGAAAAGCATGAGAGACATAAGAAGATGCTTTTGGAAGGTTAGTCAATAGTAGTTAATTTACTTTCCACACATAGAGATTCTTGTCTTCTTTCAGCCGTTACTTTTGATTTACCGTGAAAAATGTAACGCTTAAGAACATGCTCACATCAGAAGATGAATGTTACTGTTGAGACTCTTTTACTTCTTTTTAAAACTTTACGTATCAGAATATCAGAGTTCTTGTTTCACAATGTTGATGCATTCAAAAGTTGTAACATCAGAACTTTTGTATTTAAGCGTGTTAAAAAAACCCGCTTCTAAGTATGTTGTGTCTGAACAGATCTTCAAAATGTAACTCTCTCATCTTCTTTCATCAGAACTTCCAGGGATGTAGAACCAAACTATGTTCTAAGAGATCTTTTATGCATATTAAAATACTTTATTAGAAAGTACATTTGTCCTTTATATATCATGTGTTTGTTATCATCAAAACTCTTACAGGGATGTAGAATCAAACTATATTCTAACAATCTCCCCCTTTTTGATGATGATAAAAACTTGTATATTTTGATAGACTACTTTTAAGAGCATAATGAATTAAAGTCTCCCCCTGAGTTGATTACTCAGATAAAGAAAAAATACTTCCCTGAAGATGTTCTGATCAGAGTTTTGAGAAGGAAATTTTTTATGCACCCACAACTGTCCTCAACAGAGGTTTTTCATGTTTTTCTTTCAGATGATAAAAAAGAAAAAGATTATGATATTCAAAATGTTTGAGACTGAGTCTCGATACTGTTATATTCAAAATATCTTACATTCTCCCCCTTTTTATCAAGAATCAAAAATCAGTAAAAACATGTAACTAAAAAAAGAATTATGTTCAAAGAGGATTAAGATAAACATAAGTTTGAAATGAGAAGCAGATAGCAGAAACAAAACAATTTTTTAGATCTTCTAAAGGTTTTGGAAGTGTGAAGTAAAAACAGGCATAACAAATGGAGTTTTGATTTTAATTTGAAGGAGTTAAGGAAAATGATTATGTGCATTTAATGATTCCTGAAAAGAGGGATAGTGAAGATATGGAACAGTTACCGATTTTACTCGAGCCTCACTGCATCAACTCAATTGTTTCAGTCCCTTCTGAATTTGAACAGGTGTTCAACCTTAGAGGAAGACCTTACGTTTAGAGTTGACAGATGTTGATATTATGAATTGCATGCTTCTATCTTTGAAAGGAACCATTTTTAAAGAACATTCAGATTTTCTGGATAGATCCTGATGCAACTTTCCTTCTTATTTATAAAGAACTATTGATCAGATGTTCACCAAAAAAAATAAAGCATAAAATTATGAGGATAAAAAGTTTAGAGTTACCAGTCATAACTCTGTAGAGCTTCTGTTCTAATTTCTTATTTACCTCTACCTTTTCCAGAATTGTGTTTTCCTGATGAGCTAATCTGCTTCTGGGTTGTCTTTCCTGGATCAGATGTTGCTGTAATGTTTGTGACATTCTCTTCTAGATTTGACTGAGATTCTTTATAGAGAACTTCTGATGTTGTGTCCTCAGTACTGGTACCAAAAGTTCCAGAGCCAATAATCTTTCCTTTCAGATTGCCTATGAAACTTGCATATCCTTTAGATTTAAATTCCAGGCTTTGGAACATATGCTTTCTTCCTGTCATGTGTAGAGAGCATCCAGAGTCCAGGTGTTAAAGTTGGTGTTTTAACCTTGCTGTTAAAAACATCTGCAACATAGATGATTTTGTCCTTTGGTACCCATATCTTTTTGGGTCCTTGCACTAGTGCAAAAATGACTTTTTACATCGGGTGAAACTGACTTTTTACATCGGTTCTGGGTCCGATGTAAAGTCAAGCGATATAGTAAATCAGGGACTTTTACATCGGTTCTGGGACCGATGTAAAAAGTCTCTTTTTTACATCGGTTATAATATAAGAACCGATGTAATAAACTGTTATTATGCACATTTTTAAAAAAATTGATCCAGTTTTTTACATCGGTTGTAAGTAATACCCGATGTAAAAAGTCCCTTTTTTACATCGGTTATAATATATGAACCGATGTAAGAAACAGTTATTATGCACATTTTTAAAAAAAATTGATCCAGTTTTTTACATCGGTTGGATGTAATACCCGATGTAAAAAGTCTCCAGTGACGCAACTTTTTACATCGGTTATTATCCCCAACCGATGTAAAAAGTCCCTTTTTGAAAGTTTTTACATCAGTTTTTACTAATAACCGATGTAAAATGTATGAAATTTTTTTGGAATAGATTATTTATTTTCTGGATGGTTCCCTGTACAAATATAATTTGTACCCATTTTTTCATATTTTTCCAATATCACACAGACTATATTTATGTCGCTATATAGATTTCATAGCTTTCCAACATCACATATATCACATCTAGGTCGATGTTTTCATATTTTTCACAACAAACTTACAAATTGAACAATTGTATTGCAAACTTGTATTGTATTACAACAAACAAACTTGTAATTACAAATTCTTCACAAAATATACAACAATATTCAACTATTTATAAGTCTTTTTTCAAAACTTACAATTACATATTATTCACAAAATATACAAAAATATTCAAGTATTTATAAGTTTCCAAACTTAAATTACCAATATAAAATCTTCGGTAGACATAAAATCCAATGAAGCTAACATAAAATCCAACAACCTTGTTTGAATAGGCCCAACTTTGAAATGCATAACAGTTTCTGTCCAAGTCACTCTTAACACAACATTTAATGCCTGCATTTTGATATCTCATAATGTTTTAATTAAAAGAAACAAGTATATTCTAAAAATAATTTAAACATTGAAACTAAAAAGAGGTAAATGGAAATTACCATAGACATGTAGTATATGCTTTTATTCTTCAAAACTAAATCATCTCTTAGCCATGCATTTCTTGAGTTAGGATTAAGAAATCCCCAATCTTTGACAAAATCCCAATACAGTTGATACATTGTAGCTGTCACAGATGTGATTATAACAATAAAAAACATTATATTGTCATCTTGTCTTCCATATGTTACTCTAGCTCCTGCTGCAACCATTGCAGAGATATACTTCCCCATGTTCGTCAAATGCGCAACATCACTGTCATCATACCATCTTCTTACACACTAGTATTCACATTCAAATAGTAAAATTTAATTTAGTAATGTTAATAGAAAGTTTAGAAATATAGATTAGTACTAAACATTAAGGGTGTATTAATATACCTGAAGGGCACGCCAAAAATATGGCAAAAATGAGATAATGTAGGTTATTTCCATGTAGAATCTTCCGGAACTACAGGTTTCAGGGTGGTGGGTTTTGAAAACCCGGGATAAAATGTGACAACTCGTTGTTTCCAAATGTCTTAGCAATGGTATCTGTATACGATGATATACAAAAAATGTTATTAAGAAGTGTAACGATAAACAAAGGAAAATAATAGGATAAATTCGTTGAAGGATAAAAGATTTTACCTGACTAGTTAGTTGATCAGCCATAAAAAAATCCACCAGAAGAACCTGTAGGAATAGTAAATCGAATCAAACAATTAGAACTTTCATTTTGTACACATGAAGTATGTTATATCGTTATCAATTTATCTAATTGTTCGAAAAAAGATAGTATAAAGAAAATATACCTTATAAAAAGGAGAACAGATAATGTTACGAATAACGCGGATGAAGCAGAATCGAGTTGGACGATAGAAAATGTCTAATGGACAAATGAGCATAGCTATGAAAAACTGAAAAAAAATACAGGTAGTTCATAAAGTGTTAGCTCAATGATAAAAGTTTGATATTATAATATGTAGCATCAAACAACAAAGCTCAAATTTCATCAAAAAACTAACCAGAAGTAGAATTCCGGGAATGGCGTCAACATTGCCAGGAAAAAACCCCGCAGCCCTTAGAAGAAGGTGCAAGACCATCGCTCCAACCACAACAGTCATGAAGACAATACAAATCAAAAAAGCATCTCTATGCTTTAGCGCCGTGGTCGGCGAGAATTCAAATATGAAATTATGATTTATTCTTGTCGCTTTCCACATATATAAATTGCATCCGTACATAAACAAGTGTAGACTAAACAATGCAAATACACTGCATAATATAAAAATCATTGTAACCATTAAATTAAGAACCTCATAAAATTTATATTGTTTATATAAAATAAAATAAAATAAAATCTAGGAACTATGAAATGTTGCACCTGAAAACAGGATAAACTGCTTCCATATAAGCTGGTTCTGTGTTAGGAGAGAATATTTCACACAAGTGTGCCAAGATTGCATAGACACAAAACAATTATACAAAACAACCAGTGCATAAACATGTATGTAGTTGAAATAAAATTGTTAAATTAATTTAAATTTTAAGATGACTATATTATTAAAAAATTTATTGAATATATAAATTATATAAATAGTTGAAGTTATTACTGAAAAAGAAAGTGACCATATGAGAACCTTTCTGCACTTGAGGTTTTAAAAACTTCATTGCTTTTTTTCTATCATTGCTAGTAAAGTTCTTTGTGAAAATGGATTCCACTTCATCCATTAGTCTAACAACCTTTAATAATGACAATAATAATCAAAATACTATATTAATATACAATTAATTAACCATTAATTATTATATTTATAACATAATGTTAATATATAAAATGAAATACCTTATCTGAACTGATGAAATGTGATCTTTTCACTGTTTTTAAGTAACTAGCAGAAGCTGTTTGGCATGCTACCTGGTAAATAGAGATATAAATGAAAAATTTAGATACGTTGGTGAACTAACAAGTTTGTTATCAACACGTTATTTCTCTTATTTTGAGAAATAAATAATTATACCTGTAAGTTTTGAGAAGGCCAAGACCTTTATAAAGCTCAACAAATGCACTTCTAATCATCTTCTCAGCATATTGGATTTTTCTCTTATTAATAAACTCACCATACCCATCTTTTACAGGACTATTCACTAAATCTTCCCACAAAATGGAAGTAACAGCTGTGATAGCCTTTGTTGGAGTGGTGGCCGGAATATCGACAAGTTTTGTGAAGGCGGTGTGAGAAGAGAGGAAGGGAGGTCGCGCGAGAGGGACCAGCGGCTGAGGTTTGGCGCGATGGTGATGGTGAGCGGCGGCTGAGGTTTGATTTGAAACGGCAGAAAAACGAACAGAAACGGCGGTCGAAAACCTTCGGAAACGGCGGTCGATGATGGTGGCTGGGAAATGGCGGTGGTTGGATCGTGAGCGTGAGCGTACAGTGGCAAGGAGTGAAACGGCGGTGGTTGGGTCGTGAGCGTGAGCGTAGAGTGGAAACAGCGGCCAAGGAGAATATTATACAGTGGAAATACTGAAATTTGTGAAATAAGGGTTTAACAAGCTATTACCTCGGTGGAATAGGATAACCGATGTAAGGGTTGGTTTAGTGGACAACCTATTACATCGGTGGAACCTTACAACCGATGTAAGGGTTTTGGATTTTTTACATCGGTCCATTGTAATAACCGATGCAAGCTGATTTTCTGGCTTTTTTACATCGGTTTATACTTCAATCGATGTAATAAGTTGCGAAAAAATTATTTTATTCTTTAATTTATTTTTTATATTAATATCTGTTGTGAAGATATTACATCGGTTTTTAGTCAACCGATGTAATATATTGCATGTTTTTTTTAATATTTCTACTACCTTGTTTCTTATTTACAAAAATGCCACCGTATTTTTTTCTGAAAACTTTTTACATCGGTGGATGCGTTTGCCCGATGTAATAGGTAGCGAAATATATATTTTTTCATATTTTTTATATCATTGCAAATAAATACCTGATGTAAAAAGTTTGTTAGTTGTATTTTTTACATCATATATTTTGATACCCGATGTAAAAACCTTTTCTCAAATGTCTTTTTTTTAGTAGTGTTGATTGTTAGAGTTTCCAAAATTCTGTTTGAGTTTTGTTTTAGAACAAAACGTATTACTAGTATATTTTATATCATGTGTATGTCCATAGATGAAGTGTGAATAGAGAGGTGTGTATGTGTATATCTATATTTTAGAACAAAATTCTATTTGGGGTTTTTAAAACATAAATAAAAAGACACATTGGTTATCCTGGTTCGTTTAAACTCAAACTACTCAGTCCACCCGCCAAGGTGATTTCGCCTCTCTCAAACGAGGTCTTAATCCACTAATCAAAACTTGATACCACAAACACAATGACAACTGTCAATGTCTTCTTGAGTCTAAACCACAACCCGATTTTCTCAAGGAATTACAAAGTAATATAATAGAAAGTGTGTACAAATATGTTTTCTAAATACAACAATATCACAATAATGATGTATTACACAATTTGAAGAGCATAAAGTAGAACTGGGTAAAGACTTCTTTTTGGTGCGCAGTTGTTATAGTTGATTTCTTCTTTACGTCTTCCTTATATAGGCAATGCATGAGAGACATAAGAAGATGATTTTAGAAGGTTGATCAATAGTAGTTAATGTACTTTCCACACATAAAGATTCTTGTCTTCTTTCAGCCGTTACTTTTGATTTTCTGTGAAAAATGTAATGCTTCAGAACATGCTCACATCAGAAGATGAATGTTACCGTTGAGACTCTTTTACTTCTTTTCATAACTTTACGTATCAGAATATCATAGTTCTTGTTTCACAACGTTGGTGCATCCAGAATTTGTAACATCAGAACTTTTGTATTTAAGTGTGTTAAAAAAACTTGCTTCTAAGTATGTTGTGTCTGAACAGATCTTCAAAATGTAACTCTCTCATCTTCTTACATCAGAACTTCCAGGGATGTAGAACCAAACTATATTCTAACAGATCTTTTCTGCATATTAAAATACTTTATTAGAAAGCACATTTTTCCTATATATATATATATATATATATATATATATATATATATATATATATATATATATATATATATATATATATATATATATATATATATATATATATATATATATATATATATATATATATATATATCATGTGTTTGTTATCATCAAAACTCTTACAGGGATGTAGAACCAGACTATGTTCTAACAGCAAATGCTCCTTTCTCATTATTGTGCATAATAAGTATGTTTTCCACTTGGATGCGACAATATGTCTCTTCTCTTAACCAACACACATAAACTTTCAAATTTTTTACGGAGAACTACGAGTGCCCTGATCCCCTATTGCATGAAAGATGGTACATAGACACAAAAAGTTCGCAACCACGGCAGGTGCAAAAATTGTAAAAAAAACACTTCCTTTCTCATCTCCAGCATCTTATTTTGTATATACCTTTTATAGAAAAATACACAGATTTTCAAAGAGGTTTTTATGGAGTACCATAGATGTTTAGGGTGATAATACTTTCCCTTTGCATAACCAACCCCCGTACCTTGGTCTCTATTTTACTTTTGGTTTTATTCACTCTTTTCCTAGTCCTTTGGATAAAATAAAAGTGTGGTGGAGACTTCATTGATATTTTGTGAGTTAAGTCAATGAATGGCCTAGTCTCAACATTTCTACCGCTACAATGGACCCCATAAGAACTTTGTCCTCAAGGTTCATAGGAGAATGGGCTTTTGTTTTCTTAAATGGAAATAGGCCGGTGGTGGGTAAATGAAGTGTAATGTTAAAAGTGTTTGGTGAATTAACGAGGCTAGTGGGTCTAGGTGGCTGAGACAATGGTGGCGTGTTGGGAAGAGAAATAGGGTGTTGGATAATAGCTATATTGGAACGAGTGGAAAAAGGAGAGTGGATCGCAGTGTGAGGAGAAACGATGCGTGTGAGGAGATGGGGAGACACATGAGGCTGTTAGAACAAAGTTTGAATCTACTACCCTAAGTTTAAGTTTTGATGATAACAAAATGAAAGGATATATTAACTATGTGATTCATATAAGAACTATTTGATACCTAAAATATCAAGTTCTGTTTTGCAGAAACTCTGATAGGTATCAGCAAGAGCACACCTAATCAGCATCAGAATATTGGTTATCAACGTCAGCATCAGAAGATGCTATATCAGAATACCAGAATCAGAAGAACAATTCACGCGAATGCTGAAGCTTGATGAACAGAACTGCGCTCAACACTCTGATTAAGGACAACAACAGTTCATCAGCACTTAAGCAGAGTCAGAATGAGGCCAAGCCAGAACACGCTTTACGTAGCAACGGTATTGTGCATTGAAAGCGAATTATTACCAACGGCATCATTCCAGACAAGATCTGCTCAATAAGGAAAGTTTGTTATTGGCATTGAATCAAGATTATTGCTCCAACGTTCAACAAATTCAGTGCTATATAAACAAGACAATGAAGATTGAATTGGATAATGCTCTACATCATGTTACACGCCTAAAAGCTAATCATCATCTTCCCTCTTTCAGTTTGCTAAACGCTTCATATCTCCTTACTCAATATTTTAGCAATCTAGTTTCATAAGCTTAAGTTGTGTAATATCACAGTTGTGATACAGTTTTGTAGAAAACATTCACACACCTAGATTTCTCTTCTTTGTAAGAAAGTGTTTCCTTGACAAACCGGGTTGTGGTTTGCATCAAGAAGGCTTTAGCAGTTGTTAAAGCAGTTTGTAATATTCAGTTGAATATAGTGGATTAAGACCTCGTTGGAGAGAGGCGAAATCACCTTGACGGGTGGACTGGAGTAGTTTGAGATCAAACGAACCAGGATAAAAATATCTTGTTCATTGCATTGATTTTCAGTTTTACAATTCAACCCCCCTTCTTGTGTTTTTCACTTCTTTAATTGGCATCAGAGCGCCTGGTTCTGAGCTAAAACACTTAACCGTGTCAGTACAAGATCCAGCGTCAGAAAAACACAATGGCAGGAACTTATTCTCACACTAGCAATGACAACCATTAGGACAGAGACAGATTCAGCGGCAAACCTCCAGTCTTTAATGGAGAAAACTTTGATTACTGGAAAGACAGAATTGAAAGCTTCTTTCTGGAACATGATGCTGATCTGTGGGATATGGTGACAGATGGATACATGCACCCTGTGAATGCAAGCGGTCAGAAGATTGATAGGAAAACAATGTCTGACCAACAAAAGCATGACTTCAAGAATCACCATAAGGCCAGAACCATCCTTCTCAGCGCCATCTCCTATACTGAATATGAAAAGATCTCCAGCAGAGACACAGCAAAGAACATTTTTGACTCACTCAGAATGACGCATGAGGGAAACGTTCAGGTCAAAGAAACTAAAGCTCTGGCGCTTATTCAGAAGTATGAGGCATTCAAAATGGAAGAAAGTGAATCCATTGAAACAATGTTCTCAAGATTCCAGATTCTGGTAGCTGGTCTCAAGGTTCTGGATAAAGGTTACTCTACTGCTGATCACGTCAAGAAAATCATCAGAAGCTTACCCAAGCAGTGGAGGCCAATGGTTACAGCTCTGAAGCTAGCAAAAGATCTCAACAAAATTTCTCTAGAGGAACTTATCAGCTCCCTCAGAAGTCATGAGATAGAGCTAGAAGCTGATGAACCCCAGAAGCAAGGTAAGCCTTTAGCATTAAAATCTAACAAAAAATCTGAGTCTAAAGTTTTGCAGGCAGTTGAAGAAACATCTGATGGATCCTCATCAGAAGAAGACGAACTCTCCCTCCTCTCCAGAAGAGTGAATCAACTGTGGAAGCAAAGGCAAAGGAAGTTCAGGAATCCCAGAAGATCTGATCAGAACGAGTCTTCTTCCAGATACAGAAGGACAGATTCCTCCTCTGGATACAGAAGATCTGAAGGCTCCTCGGGAAGCAGAAATCCAAACACCAAGGACATCATCTGCTATGAGTGAAATGAGCAAGGACACTACAAGAGTGACTACCCAAAGCTTCAGAGGGAAAAGCCCAAAAAGAAGTTTGGAAGAGAAAAGAAGAAAAGTCTCATGGCTACATGGGATGACTCTGACTCGTCTGAAGC